TGTTGTTTCCTTTTGGTCACTCGATGATCTGAAGTTTCAGCACTTCCTGGATGAGTTTCAGCACTTCCCGGATGAGATCCAGCAACCGTGTACCATTGTACAACAATCTCTGGCTGACTTCCCTCTCTCCGTGTGTGTGTGTGTGTGTGTGCGTGCGTGCGTGCGTGCGTGCGTGCTTGCGTGCGTGCGTGCGTGCGTGCGTGCGTGCGGGCGGGCGTTTGAAATTTGGGGGCGGAATCCAGCTCTGTATTTGCAGTTAAGCGCGAAGGTCAGAGGCCCATTGAACAGAGAATATACATAGTGACAGAAGAAGAAGAAGCAGATGTAGTCGACTGGTCTTCTGACCGTGGCTTGGGTGGCATGTTGGATAGGAACTCAGCAACGAGTGGAAATGTGACAGTGGTCAGCAAGGCAGCCTCGATCGTGCTAGGTTCTGCATACGCACAAGGTAAAGAACCGCGAACATTGAGCAAAATCGAGCGTCTGCAAAGGCGATGGGCGGAACGTTCGGTCTGGGTGTGCGGGTTCACCATTGACATGTACGCCACTTTCGTGGAGCTTGCGAAATGGAACTTCAGCATGGGGAGCGTCTGATGTTGTGTTTTTTAGAGTATGCTCGAGACCCCACCACATCCGCGAGTCCCCAGCTGTTTCCAGCTTCCATCGGAAGCCGGTCGGATTCAAGAGCTCTTCTGCAGCATTATGGTCAAGATTGCTGGAACCTGGCTGCGTCCAGAGTCAATCGTGGGCGTGCTCTGGAGAAGCGCTATCTGTCACGTGATGCCCAATTTCCGAAGAGTTGAGTTGAGGGCATTCACATTGACATAACAAATCGCGAGCGTCATGCCCCAAACGTTGCTGAGACGCCGACTGTGAACACTGAAAATTGAGGTGATTGCTGACATATTCTGACCTATATGACCTGCCGGGGTACAAACGCGATTCTAGCACCATTCTTCCAAGGTCCTTGTTCAGCGAGGCGAAATTTGCCTGGCAGACTCCGTGGAAGAGGCTGGTGCTAGACGCATCCCAGTCCGGAGATTGTCACATTCATATACTCGACTCGTCACGTGCAATCTGCGAAGCAGGTGCAGTCTAATGCGTGCCTGAACTGGGCAAGTGCCTGGCCAAAGCTGCTTTGGTACCCGACAGCAATCTGTGTGCCAATGCTGGCCTTGCAGCAGGGTGCCGCATGCGCATACGGGCGAGAGTCCCGCTGGGTTTATGCAGGTGGCAAACAGCAAAAAGTCAACACAGTTGATTAGGTACATCGGTTCTGCAGACGCACGCATCACCTCCTTCCTCCTTGTCCAACGCTCAGTGGTTTTTGCACAGCGACACATAGGTGGCGAGTGCAGGCAGCCATAGCAAAATCCTTAAAACCAAGCACACCGTTGCATGGGCATCGTCTTGTTCAGCCCTAAGGTAATAGTCCTCGAGTTGGCCAAGCGTGCCAAAGCTGGAGGCACCTCCTTCCAATCATCGTTATGTCGTGGAACCACTTCGAAGTGCACAGTTGCAAGGCCTGCATGCCCGGAGCTTGGCTGTCGCAACGAGTCGCCCGATCATCTGCTGCTGGGGATTTTTGCTCGCTTGTGTCTTGTGAGTGTCTTGTGTCTGCAAACGACAACAACTCTCCAAGTCATCCAAAAAGGACGCAAGCTAGAACGTACACCTGGCCTCCGAGCATACATCAGACAGCCAAAGCCCTTGAACCCTAAAGCCATAAAGTGGGCTGTGTCACCTGAGAGATGTACCAACCGAAGCCTTGCCGGCCTTGTGCGAGTGTGAGAGTCGAAAGCCATAAACTTTCCTAAGCTCGCGAAACCTCAAACGCATAAAGCCCTCAGCACCACTGTGCCAGTGGTGTTGCCTTTGCAGAGCGTCACCGGGTCAACCAGACAGGTGGCAAAAGGAACCAATCGCCCGGCGAATATGAGCCTAAGCAACAGCAGCAACCCTATAATGTTGTGCCCTCTTTTACGCAGGACCCGCTGAAGTCAAGCTTTGCCGGCGCAATCGGGACGTGCAGTAACTGTTTGAGGCATTCGCCCTGCCCCCCGACAAGTCGAAAACCATATTGGGCCCTCCTACGCGATTTGGGGATTTCAAAAGGAGCCTCGCCCCTGTCCCGCTGTCCATGGGCGCCTGGCAGATGATTGTCATGACTCTCTTGTTATAGGCCGCAGAGGTGGCTGGAGGTGAGTGCTTGATATTCCCGCTTCGGCGGAATTGCGCATTATTCAAAGATCAGTTTTCGTCCCCAGGTCGCGGGTACTCGCGATTTGGAAGTCAGCATGTATCCCGCTTCCATGTGTTTTCCGAAGTGTGCCTTAAGTGGCTACCGAAGGCGTCTCTGTGAGACGGAGCTTGGAGCTGCCTTGCCCGTGAGAGAGAGAGAGAGAGAGAGGCACACGGCCCATATACACCTTATAAGATGAGCTCCAAAACACCTTAAACTGCCAGGCGCAGAACAGAGCTTCCAGTTTTCGAAGCCGTCCTTAATGAAACCCCGAATACCCTAAACCCCCATGTGCGGGCATGAGAGCCGAGACCCCCAGAAACCGAAAACCCCAACAGCCCCAATATTCAGGCAAGCAACACAACATTGCAGCGAGGCAACGCATGCAGACATGCAATTTCGGCCCTGCTGTGTCTCGTGAGGAAAGGATTCTGGCCAACGTGCTACCGCTACTGGTGCCCTTCTTTGCTGGGATGCCAGGCCGGGGCACGTGTTAGGAAGGTGCTGGATTTTGGAAAAAAGCCAGTGAGCAATCAGAAGATGTTGAGATCTGTGGCTTTAGGAGGGAGGCAAAAGCCACCGCCGCTGGCGAAGCCCGGGCCTGAGCGCGGAGGAGGTCGCTTTGCGGACGAAGTTTGGAGGACAGAAAATCTTAAGCACGATAGGGCCGATAGGGCGCCAAAAGAAACTGACATCGCCTCCGCCCTCCGTGGAACCGTTATTTCGCGAAAAAATCACCATGTTGCCTCTACTGTGAGGCTGTCCTCCTTACCACAACAGCTGGCCACCTCGGTGCTGCCGTGCGCCAGCTGGAAGAAGCCCCCAGAGCAAGAGCTGAGTTCTGAGCCATGACATGGCCCTTCTTGGCCCTTCTGTTGCCCAAGGCACTTTCCCAGACTGAAGCCGCCGCTGCTGGCTGCCAGGGCCCTTGCCATCCGAACGCCGATTCTTTTACAACATTTTGCGCCCGCCCACTTCGTCACTTTGCCACTAGCTTGCCAGGATGTTTAGTGTTAGGGATGTGTCAGCTGTGCCCCGCTCGGTTTGCTCGGGAGCGATAAGGCTGAAGGAGGATCGGAATGTTGCCAGTTGAGAGAGGCGGTGGCGCAGGAGAGGGGGAGAGCGAGGCGAGGCTTCCTCATGCAACATTTTGACATTGCATTCTGTTTGCAGGGAACATCTGGCAGCACTACATTTGCACAAAGTCTCACGCCAGGGGAAACAGTCGAACACCAAGCCCAATACTGTACCATCCAATAATACCCATTGAGTGTCCGGGTGGGCCTGGATCCCTCATACCCGCGGGAAGAACAAGAGCAAGAAGAGGAAGAAGGCAAGAAAAAGAAGAAGAAGAAGAAGCAGAAGAGGGAGGGAGACAGTTTGGGCATTCACTCACTGAGGCACTTGTGGACGTGGTGTGCCGTTGGTCACAGGTTGCACTGGGGCACTGGGGTGCTATCTCCTTCTCATGCTGCGCAACCTGTGCAGAAGTCGTGTAAGATGGAGGCTGCTGTGGGGAGCAGCCCCAGCTGGCCAGACACGTGGGTAAGCCCAGCTTGGTGTTCTTAGCTCATGTGAAGGTTTTGGCCTGCTTTGGGGATGTATGTAGCGTCAAGCTGCCATGCTGCAGATGGATGCAGATGCTAAAAGTCTTTTGTTTGCTTGCCATATGCCACTTGTGTGGCGTGAAGCTCTTCATCTGGATGCTCTCCTTCCTGCATTCCTGTATTCTTCTGCTTTCTGCTTTTCCCCTTCTCTTTTCGCGTCTTGCGTGCTCGGACTGCCAATGCTGGGACAGAAGTTAGGAAACAAACTCTGTTGGAACTGTTTGTTGGTGGATGTTGGCTGCGCACCTGTCACAAGTGCTTGGAATGGCCTCGGCGGCTGAAGCCAAGCACAAGCCAAGAATACCTCGCGAGGCAAAAAAATCAGTACCTGCTAAGAGACCTGAAACGCAACAATGAGACGCTGGCCGAGCAACCCTAAATTGGCCTTAAATACTGTTATGGTTATGGTTATGATTTTAGGCCTTTCCGCGCTTGCGTTGTCATGGCTAGGGGGGGGGGCTTGCACGCGCGTGGAGCACCGTTGAACCTACAACATGCTGCACAAGGCGCAGAGGAAAACATGAAAACAGAACAATGTATTGCTCCACTGGATGCGAGAGTTTCGTGCTCATGTCTTCGAGGCCGCAGCTCGGCAACGAGTGCTCGGAGCAGCTCCTGGAGGCGGGGAGCAGCTCCTGGACCCATAAGGACCCTATGTGGCCTAGGCTGCTGGCATGAGTCTCACCTTTAGACGAACTGTGACAGTCGTGCGCAATTCTCAGGGTGTGGAAAGAACAAAACGGCTTCTTCCTTCGCTCTGAGGCTTGCTTGCGCGGGCACGCTGTGCAGCAGGCAGAGCTGCTGGTGCGGAGCTTGGGCCGCTTTTGGAGTCATATTCGTTCGAGGTGCATGCGGTTGTGAACGCAGGTGCGTGATCCCCAACACTTTGAGAAGTTATGCCGGTGGGCGGGTCGATTCAAGGTACCCCGATTGAGTGCCGCCATAACTGTGCTGAAGGCAGGGGGCAGAGTGGGGGCAGCGGGGCGATGGCGCCGCTCATGCCAAGACAGAGCTGGGCTTCCAGAAAGCAAACAGTCACTTGTGGGCACCTTGTGTGTACGAAATGTGTACGAAAGTCCCGACTGCACGTTTGGCAAAAGCAGGTGCAAAGTGTGCAGAGCATTAGCAAAACCTGATCGCATTTGGAAGCCATGGTCGTTTCCGACTTGCCTTTCCCGTCGCCACCACCATGGCCCCCAACTTGGGAAAAGAGGCAAGCGTACTTGCACTGGTGGCTGCTTCTCTTCATGACAGGCGTAGGGGCATTGAAAGCAGCTGGCTTCCTTCGCCACGACCTTTCGCAAATCGTGGGCGTGCTTGAGTTTGTGGGCGGTGCCCTTCTCTTGCCACGATGGTCAGCAATAGCAACCGCTCTCGGCAAAGGTGGCTCTGAGCTGAGCTTGAGGGCCGGTTGTTGGTTCATCCTCTGTGGCTTGGGCATGATCGTGTCGACTCGCAAGAGGAAGAGCCCGGTTTGCTGGAGCCAGACAGTTCTGTGCTTGGAGCTGCTCCGTAGCAGAGGCGGCAATACTGCCGTACTTGTTGGCGTGATGATGCTAATGGCTGGAACTGCCGCAGGCTGCCTTTTGCAAGAGTTTGTCTTTCCGCCTACAGCTACGCTGAAGGTTGCATGAGATGACCTGCGAAGGAGAAAGATGTGGCAGTATCTGGACGTGGTTATGCCTCCCAACACGAATTTGACTGTGTTGTCGCTGCTGCAAAGCCCGGGCACAAAGCTTGTTGAGCTATGTTGGCTAGGCGAACGTTTGAAGAAGTTCGTTCTGGTTCACACTCGAAGCGCACTAAGCGAAGCCCGATCGAAAAGGGGTTTGCTAGGCCTGACTTTCCTCAGCCAATGAGAGAGAGAGAGAGAGAGAGAGAACCGAGTCGATATTTGTGTGTTCTTTACCTTGCCGTAGAGTGAGTGCAGTGAGTTGCTTGCGGTCTGGCTGCCTGAAATGCCATGTGCTATGTAACTGGTGAACAGCCAGGTCACACCCCACACAAAGCCAACGTCCGACATTTGTGCAGCACTGAGAATCTCACGACCTTCACGACCCTCTTCCAAAACTACTCTTCTCGGTTTCTGTCTTGCCGGTCGCAGGTGCCTTGCGATGTGAGAAGTCCGCCCTCAATTTGGCCGCCGTCCTGTGCCTAAACCTATCCCAGTGCCGAGCAGCGGCAGCGGATGGAACAGTATGCCGCTTGCCAGGCTGTAGCTCGCTGAACCTTGGTTTCTGAACTTCATCGGTCGAGGTTGTCGCAGCATGGGTGATGGAGGAGCTGTGCCCAGACCTCGGCTGAGGTAAAGCAACATCGTTTCTACTTCCCCGCAGCTGGACACGCTTTGTGCTGCCTGAGGCGAAGCCTGCCATGCTCAGGAAGCCGGGGGCGGTCGGGTGTCGGCTTGCTCGGCCTTGATTCAATAAGCATCAGTGAGCATCGGTAAGAACGCAACCTCCTATCATCATAACGCAGCTGAGAGGAGTACGTGTGGGCAATCCCGCCGCAGAATGCCGCAGACAGCACAGCAAACGATCAGAGGATATTATGGTACTAGTAACTGATTGGAAGACGCAATTGCATTTGAGCCCTTATCACTCAACAACTCGGCCTGAGACAACCTATCTGGTTGATACCACTTTTGAATTTCTATATGCCTCAACCATTAAAGTTTCAAAATACAGGTGCTGTAAGGTTACAAGTGGACAACGCTGATTTTGAAACAGTGCACGGCGAGGATGGTATTCAATGCACGTATCACAATTGCAGGTTCTACGGTCGAGTGCCCTCGATCCTTCCCCGCCTTTGACAACAGCGTCGTTGGGCGCAGCATGCCCCTGCATGTGTCTCCAATTCTCACGCACCCAGACAGACACAGACAGAGACGCAAACACACACACACACACACACACTCACACACTCACACACTCACACACTCACACACTCACACACTCACACACTCACACACTCACACACTCACACACTCACACACTCACACACTCACACACTCACACACTCACACACTCACACACTCACACACTCACACACTCACACACTCACACACACACACACTCACACACTCACACACTCACACACTCACACACTCACACACTCACACACTCACACACTCACACACTCACACACTCACACACTCACACACTCACACACTCACACACTCACACACTCACACACTCACACACTCACACACTCACACACTCACACACTCACACACTCACACACTCACACACTCACACACACACACAATCCCTCCTCCGGAGGATGTTGAACAGAGATTTGGGCTCCATCCCACCACTCGCAGGGCAGACTGATTGGGGACTAGTGTGTGTGTGTGTGCGCGCGCGTGTGCGCGCGTGCGTTCGTGCGTGCCTGCGTGGGTGAATGGGTGTGGGTGTGTGTCTGTGTGCTCGCGTGCGTGCGTGGGTGGGTGAGTAGGTGGGTGGGTGTGGGTGAGTGTCTGTGTGAGTGAGTGAGTGAGTGAGTGAGTGAGTGAGAGTGAGTCGACCGAGGCACATGCCGGCTGGAAGCAATTACCTGGCCTAACAAAAGGCGACACCTCCTGCCCGAAGGCTTAAAGTGTCAGCCCCAACAACTACGAAACGACAAACAGACAAAACAAAGACGCAACAACACGCGGAGACGAACGGAAACCGGCCCAGTCCAGCAAGAGGGCGTGTTACCTCCCGAACGCAGCAGTCACTAGGCAAGCCCGCCACCTACACCAACCAAGCAGAGTTCTGCTTGGCTGGGCAGGCATAAGGGCAAGACAGCTTGCCATGCTCGCGATAGCCAACGCAGATCTTCCCGCGAAGGTCACCCTCCGAGGTACTAGGCCAAGTAATCACCATCACCTCTGCAACGGGCAGTGCACGACACGTGCCGTTTCGGCTAGCACTCTTCTCCTCACATCCCTCTGCGGATACTACTGTAGGTGCCCAACGCGACCTTCATGCACCCGGACCCACTCACGTCACAGCCTCAAACCTTCATTCCAGCACACAAGGGCCTGCCTCTGCCAATGGCAACACTATGCCACCCCCTTTCCCAGTTGGTCGAACAATGCATTGACGCACACCCTCTGAGGGCGGCAGGTTGATCATCTTCTACATCAAGAATGCTTCTAAAATTTGAATGAAAGTCTGAGCCGCGTGAGATGTTGATATCAATGAACCTGGGACATGAGAATGAATGAATGACCCGTGTGAGATGTTGATTTATCAATGAACCTGGGAAATGACAATGATCATGAATGATGTTGGCATGTCCTTAGCCAAGCTCATTTGCTGCATTTTGCTTGCAACATGCAAGCTTGGAGGGTTATGGCTTGGCCTTATTGCCATTCAGCAAACTGTTCTATGCCATAATTGGCTTCTGAAGTGTCTGAGTGCTCGACCTCCGAAAACTGTTTGGCCATGTTTGGCCAAATGGAAAAGGTCCCGACTTTCTGAAAACACAATGTTGCAGGTACACAGATTGACGTCCCAATCTGCTTCACGGAGTATCCACGGCTGTCTTCGTTGGCAGTAGAACTGTGGACTCCCTCCTGCCCCCTGCTGGAAAATAACAGTTGTGCAAACTGGGCTGAGACTCTGAGCCGCAACGATTGACTAAACCTTGGCACGCAGGAGTCCTCCACACACACACACACACCACACCCACCCACCCACACACACCCACCCACCCACCCACCCACCCACCCACCCACCCACCCACGCACGCGCACGCGCCCCCGCGCACGCGCCCCGCGCACGCGTCCCCCGCGCACGCGCCAACCACAGCGCCAACGCGCCCCCG